CAGTAGTGTATTTTATTATTATTATTATTATTATTATTATTATATATGCATTATATATCCATTTAATTGATTTAACTTTATTTGACTAGGATCTTTAGGCTATTTTAGGTTATTAATTGGCCTAGAAACATGTCAAACTTCTAAAACAACTCATTTATGTAATTTTATTCCTCAAAGCCAGTACATGTTTATTGCATAGTAAAAATGTATTAACCAAACATGATTCTTGCATGCAGAAATGGTGAATTTGGAGAGTTATGACAGCGAGGGACCCCACACGCCGGAGACGGACGACTCTGCTGAAGTGAGTGTATTAGTTTAATCAAGTGTAAATTGTTTTGTAATAACCAAAAAAATTGCAAAGATTGCAACTTTTACCTACTAGTTATTTAAAGGGGTCCTCTTATGCTTTTTCACTTTTTCAACTTTTACAATCATCCGGGTTTATATCGTGCTCAAATTGATTTGATTTTGATGCAATATTTACACTGAAGCTCGCAGGCGGCTATGGTAGCGGGCATGACATTACCCGACCAGTGGCCGAGTGCTGCCAATCACAACACACACTGGCCCAGCTAACCAATCACAGCACATTTCGTATTTCAGAAGGCGGGCCTTCATTTGATACAGGAACTATTCGAGCCGTTCATGCCAGACTGGGGAGAGAGGTGTTGTAATAATGTAAAATATGTGAAAAATAATGTGTTGTTCGAACAACCTAGTATGAGAGCCTGTTCTAGTACACCCCCAAAACAAAATCAAGACTTTGTAAAAAAGCATAATAGGACCCCTTTAAGAGGAAAAAAGGGGCGAAAAAACAGAACAAGATGTGTTATATAAGCCTGCAATTTTCTCACTCTTTAACATGGAAACTTATTTTTAATGAAGGACCAAACAAACTCTCGCAGCACAACTGCAGCGGCAGGGATTCAGGATAAAAGTGGTAGAATTGAAACGGCATAGGGAGTGAAATTATACTCCAGTCGATATATTTCCCCTGCACTGAATCTTTTATCTGGCTTTCTCTCAGGGGAAGCTCAAAGCCATCAAACCGCCCTGTGAATCAGACTTCCAGACTATCAAACTCATCAGCAATGGAGCGTATGGGTGAGAATATCGCTATTTACTCTCAAATTACCATGAAATAACTTAAAAGCAATGTGTAAACTTGGATAAACCAGATCTCTCCTTCTCGTTTTGATCGCAGAGCTGTGTATTTAGTCAGACACAGAGAGACGCGGCAGCGCTTTGCTATGAAGAAGATCAACAAACAAAACCTGATCCTGCGGAACCAGATCCAGCAGGCGTTCGTGGAGCGGGACATCCTGACCTTCGCCGAGAACCCCTTTGTGGTCAGCATGTTCTGCTCTTTTGAGACACGCCGTCACCTGTGTATGGTTATGGAGTACGTGGAGGGTAAGGCATGAGACACACTCAACGATTCAATCCTAATTTGTACACACAACCCAGATTTGAGTCATTTTACAGCCAATTATTTTTATAATTCAACCATGTTATTTTTTGTTTAGGTGGTGACAGTGCAACCCTGCTGAAAAATATCGGAGCCCTTCCTGTGGAAATGGCCCGGATGTACTTTGCTGAAACAGTTTTAGCGCTGGAGTACATTCATAATTATGGCATCGTACACAGAGACCTGAAACCAGACAAGTAAGTCAGCGCCCCCTGCAGGACTGGAGGTCATCTGTCGAGTAGAATAGTGAAAGAAGAGTTAGTATAACAACAACATTTATAATAAAGTATTTATAAAGTACATTTGAAAACAACATATATTGATCCAAAGTGCTGTTCAATATATTTAAAAAAATCTATACTGCAAAAGCAACTTTTACACATGTAAAATATGCATACATATATGTATATGTATATGTATGTATATATATATATACATATATATATATACATATATACAAATATTTAATTAGTTTGAGAGCATAAGAAAGCTGACTCAGGTCATTTATAGTGCCCTTAATGGGATTGAATGATTCTTTTGGCGTGATTTGTTTGTCTCAGTCTTCTGATTGGTGGAGATTTCTCTGCAGAATCATGGTTAATGTAGTTCTTCACTAGAAATTCTGTTGTTAAACATGATTATTTAAAGAAGAAAAGTTTAAACAATGTGGACTAATGGGTTCAACTAAAGCATGTACCATCGATTAACAAATTTGTAGCTTATGGTAGGTCTGTCTTTAACCGTTTATATGGAGAACGGCAGTGCTAAAGCGTTCTTTTGGCACAATTTGCTTGTTGCAATTCTCTAATTGGTGGATATTTCTCTGCAGAATCATGGGTAACCCTAGTAAAAAAAAAATACATGATTTAAAATACATTTATTTCATATTAAGTATAGTTCAAATCTATTAACCTGTTTACTGAGATATCGCTCAAGACTTGCTGATATAAAAATTATAATTCAACTTTATTTGGAGTACTACTTGTGCACAATGCACATTTCTTAATATTAATCCTAAAATGTATTTTAATGTCACTATCGATGAGGATTGTATGATCTTTGAATAATACCAGTCTTTAAATGCCAGATAAAGTGTAGCTGAAGTGTACTTGCAATAGTTCCACTTTAGCACAATCAAATATACTTCAGTATCTCTTTAGTTGGACTTCAGCAATACTTCCACACAATTAAAGTGCATTAAGTACAAAATCAGTGGTTCCAGTCTAACAGTTTAGTATACTAAAAATACAATTGCTGGGTATTTTTATTAAGCACATAAATGGTTTGTAGCATACTTAGCATGAAATAAATGTATTTCAAATGCATTTTAGTATATTTACTTTTCACTAGAGAATGTAGGATTTCAACAGAAATCCTGCTGTTGATTATGACTATTTTAAAAATAGGTTGAAATAATGCAGGCTAATGGCTTCAACAAAAGCATTTTACATCTATTAACTAACTCATAATTCACAATAGGTCTGTCTTTAATGGTTTATATGTTATTGTTAAAAATAAATAATGGGATTTTTACTTCAGGGAAACCGACTGTTGCTAGGTGTAAAACCGACTGTATTACTAGGTGTAAAACAGATGATCTCATCTTGATGTCTATTTTCGAAGCAAACGCTCACGACTCGTGGTTCTTCTTCACAGTCTGTTGATCACGTCGATGGGCCACATTAAGCTGACGGATTTTGGCTTGTCAAAGATGGGGCTCATGAATCTCACCACTAACCTGTACGAGGGACACATCGAGAAGGATGCCAGGGAGTTCCTGGACAAACAGGTAAGGAAACAGGGCTGTCATTTTGTGATCGGTTCACATAGCAGGTGTAAACAGGATGGTATTGTCTCTATGTCTCAGGTGTGTGGCACACCAGAGTATATCGCCCCAGAGGTCATTCTCAGGCAGGGCTATGGGAAACCAGTGGACTGGTGGGCCATGGGCATCATCCTCTACGAATTCCTAGTGGGCTGTGTGCCATTCTTCGGAGACACGACTGAAGAGCTCTTTGGTCAGGTGATCACAGGTGAGTCTGAATCTTTGTTGCTTCAAAGCAACTCCTGAGCTAATATTAGCAGCAGCGGCATTGATGAGTGCAAAAGCAAACACATTCTTCTCCTCCAGAAACCTCTTCCAAAGTGCTCCATTTTTCTCGCAAAGCTTTGTAATTCCATACACTGAAATGTGATGAAGAGCTTCAGTGCTGCCAACAGATTTCTGTGTGTGTGTTTGTGTAGATGATATTGAGTGGCCTGTGGGAGATGAGGCACTGCCTAGTGAAGCTCAGAGCCTGATTTCCGCCCTGCTGCAAACCAACCCACTAGTGCGACTGGGCACAGGTAAACATCCACCAGTTTAACACACTTTCACACACTTATGCCATAAGTCAAGACAACAAAAATTCAGATTGGACGTTTTGACATGAATACATATGCTTGGTCTTATTGTGAACAATTCATCTGTGCATTTCTTTTCATTTCTTTTCTTTTTTATAGAAATTCATGTGTTTCTTTCTTGTTTTTAGCATTACTGTTCAAAAGAGTTGGGTCAGTAAGATTTTTTAATGTCAAGGCTGCATTTATGTGATCAAAAATGCAGTAAGAACAGTAAGATTATGAAATGTGACCCTGGACCGCAAAACCAGTCTTAAGTGTCAATTTTTTGAAATTGAGATTTATACATCATCTGAAAGCTGAATAAATCAACTTTTCATTGATGTATGGTTTGTTAGGATAGGACAATATTTGGCTGAGATACAACTATTTGAAAATCTGGAATCTGAGGGTGCAAAAAAATCTAAATATTGAGAAAAGTTGTCCGAATGAAGTTCTTAGCAATGCATATTACTAATCAAAAATTACGTTTTGATATATTTACGGTAGGAAATTTACAAAATATCTTCATGGAGCATGATCTTTACTTAATATCCTAATGATTTTTGGCATAAAAGAAAAATCGATAATTTTGTGGCTATTGCTACAAATATACCCCTGCGACTTATGACTGGTTTTGTGATCCAGGGTTGCAAATATGATTACAACTGTTTTCTGTTTGTATGTATTTTAAAATGTAATTTATTCATGTGATGCAAAGCTGAATTTTCAGCATCATTACTCCAGTCTTCAGTGTCGCATGATCCTTCAGAAATCATTCTAATATGCTGATTTGATGCTCAAGAAACGTTTCTTACTACTAAGGTTGCAAACACTTCATATTTTTGTGGAAACTGTGACATTTTTTCAGAATACTTTAATGAATACAAAGAACCACATTTATTTGAAATAGAAAAGTTTTGTAACATTATAAATGTTTTAGTGTCACTTTTGATCAGTTTAATGTATCCTAAATAAAAGTATTATATTTTAAAATTTTCCTTAAAAAACCTAGTAGTGTATATTGTTGTTTAGTCAAAAATAAAATTTCTGTCATCATTTACTCAGGCTCATGTTGTTCCATATGAGGGTTTCTGTCACAAAATTTGGTGTTTTCTATACAATTAAAATAAATGGAAATGGAAGTTGTCAAGCTCCAAAAACAACCATTTAAAAAAAAAAATTTAAATGTAATGTAACTGCTGAAAATGTTTCCCTTCACAATAGTTCTTAAGTCTAATTTGTGTTTGTATTAGTGCTGTCAAACGATTAATCACGATTAATCGCATCCAAAATAAAAGTTTTTGTTTACATAATATATGCGTGTGTGCTGTGTATGTTTATTATGTATATATAAATAAATACACACACATGCATGTATATATTTCAGAAAAATATGTTATGTTTTTATATGAAATATATTTATTTATAATATAAATTATATGAATATAAATACAGACATGTAAATATTTTCAAAATATATACTGTATGTGTGTGTATTTATATATACATAATAAATATACACAGAACACACACATATATTATGCAAACAAAAACTTTGATTTTGTATGCGATTAATCACGATTAATCATTTGACAGCACTAGTTTGTATACAGTATATTCAGACTTGCCATGACACCATATTTGAATCCATGCAAAACTTTGTATGGCATTAGAAGACTAAAATCACTTGGACAACTATTAACTATTTACAACCCCAGTCCCTGTGTTTATTTTTTAACTGTATGAAAAACCGTTGCTTGAACATTCTGTCATATTAGGATAGTTCTGGAAAAAAGAAAGCAGGCAGGCGGGTAAACCAGTTTTTGCACCACAATGCATGGCCACAACACCTTGTCTTACAAGGATTGCGTGTTTATCTGTTTGTCTATAAATGTACTTCTGTTTACTCTTGTAAACAGGTGGAGCGTTTGAAGTGAAGCAGCACTCGTTTTTCTCGGGATTGGACTGGAATGGTTTACTCCGACAGAAGGCCGAATTCATCCCTCATCTAGAGTCTGAGGAGGACACCAGCTATTTCGACAGTGAGGACACTCACACTTGCTTCTTAGTCTGCCCTTGATCTCCATCTCTCTATCTCTCACCATCATCTCGCGCTCCCTCTGTTTCAGCGCGGTCAGAGCGTTATCGGCACATCAACTCCTATGACGAGGACGACACCAACGACGATGAGCCAGTAGAGATAAGACAGTTCTCCTCTTGCTCGCCGCGCTTCAGCAAGGTCAGTCTGACACATGACTGCATCCATATTTCATGCTTTCTTTTTTAGAAACACTCTCGAATGTGTAAACAGACACATTAACACTCATCATTTTTATCTGTCTTTCTTTTATTTAATTTTTCATGGTCCATCAAGGTCACATTGCATCCTCTCATTCCTTTTAGAGGAGACCAGGCCTAGTTTTCACAGTTTTTACTCCAGTGATTGTGTTTATTTTTAAAGACTGTTTTTTTATAGACACAAACATTAGTGCATTTGTGACCCTGGAGCACAAAACCAGTCATAAGTAGCACGGGTATATTTGTAGCAATAGCCAACAATACATTGTATGGGTCAAAATTATCTTTTTTTTTTGCATGCCAAAAATCATTAGGATATTAAGTAAAGATCATGTTCCATGAAGATATTTTGTAAATTTCCTACCGTAAATATATCAAAACTGAATTTTTGATTAGTAATGTAAAAGCTTATAGTTGCTAACATATATATATGTGACAACTAGCCCCAGTCTGTCCTACACATATCCATTGAAAAGACTGTACCGGTTAAACAAACACTTTTGTCTCTTTCTTATCTCTTCTTCCAGTTCATATACTCCGTATAAACATTCTTTTCCTGGAAATGGCAGGAATCTCAATGTGCTTGTTTTGAACGTAGGTGATTCATTAAAAAAACACTTGCGTGAAGCAGTGGCCTTCAGATAAGTGAGGGGCCGAACAAGCCATAATTCAATCTGGCACTCTCACACACTTACATTCTCATTTCACATACATATATTTTTGCTTTCACACAGTTACATTCTCCTTACACATGCATACATTTCTACTCTCACACACACACATACATTCTCCTTTCACATACACATATTTTTGCTTTCACACACTTACATTCTCCTTTCACATACATATATTCTTGCTTTCACACACTTGCATTCTCCTTTCACATACATATATTCTCCTTTCACA